TCATGCCTATGTGCATTGCATCCGCCTGTGCCAGTGCACATTGATCCACACTCGTATATTCGTTTTCTTACCTACGCGCGGCCGTTCTATATACATATTTATTTTTATATATACACATATGTATACTAGAACCACGCGCGCGCTTCGCGCGCGCTTAGGTTCTGTCGAAGCACAGACCCAGGAATCGTCGCGAGAAGAAATTGGTGACGCGAAGCGTCTTGGGGGCGTCCTTGGACGTCTGGGGTCTCCTGGGGCCTCTTGAGGGGCCTCTTTGGAGCCTTCTTGGGCTCCATCTGGAAGCCAAGATGGATGCAACAAGAGGGTGCTTGGGCTCTCCGTGAGCTATCCTCTGGTTTTCATTCCCCTGGAGAGGAGAAGGAGGAGGAGGAGGAGGAGGAGGAGGAGGAAGGAGGAGGAGGAGGAGGAAGATGCAGAGGAGGGAGGAGGAGGAAGGAGAGGAGATGTTGGGGCGCTCTTGGGGCCCTCTTGGGCTCTCTTGGGGCTCGTCGGGGCCCTCGTGGGGCCACCTTGGGCTCCTCTCGGAGCTCCAAGAGGAGCCCACAGAGGGGCCCAACATCGGTCACGCGAGAGCTCTTTCGCGTGACCGATGTTGGGGCCCTCTTGGGGCCCTATTGGGCCTCCTTGGGCCCTCTTGGGGTCTCGACGGGGCCCTCGTGGGGCCATCTTGGGCTCCTCTCGGAGCACCAAGAGGAGCCCAAAGAGGGGGCCCAACATCGGTCACGCGAGAGCTCTTCCGCGTGACCGATGTTGGGGCCATCTTGGGGTTCCTTGGGCCTCCTTGGGCCCACGTGGGGCTCCCTCGGGGCCCTCGTGGGGCCATCTTGGGCCCCTCTTGGAGCTCCAAGAGGAGCCCAAAGAGGGGCTCAACATCGGTCACGCGAGGGCTCTTCCGCGTGACCTATGCTGGGGCTCTCTTGGGTCCCTCTTGGGCCTGCTTGGGTCCTCTTGGGGTCTCGTCGGGGCCCTCGTGGGGCCATCTTTGGCTCCTCTCGGAGCTCCAAGAGGAGCCCACAGAGGGGCCCAACATCGGTCACGCGAGAGCTCTTCCGCGTGACCGATGTTGGGGCTCTCTTGGGGCTCTCTTGGGTCCCTCTTGGGCCTCCTTGGGCCCACGTGGGGTTCCCTCGGGGCGCCCTCTTGGGCCCGTCTTGGGGCCCTCTTGGGCCATCTTGGGCGCCTCTTGGGCCGTCTTGGGGCCCTCTTGGGCTGTCCTGGGGCCCTCTTGGAAGCTTCTTGGGCCGTCTTGGGGCGGTCTTGGGCGCCTCTTGGGCCGTCCTGTAACGTCGGAAAGCCCAAAAGACAACTTTGTTGAAAATGTACGTTTTACGAAGGGAATGGGCCAATTTTTGCGTCTAGGGGCCCTCTTGGGACGCATGTTGGAGGCTTCTTGGGGCCTCTTGGGGGCGTCCTTGGACGTCTGGGGTCTCCTGGGGCCTCTTGAGGGGCCTCCTGGGGGCCTCCTGGCGGCCTCTTGGGGCGGAAGGCTCGAGCTTGCGGTTCGTGGTCCCCCTCTGGGCCCCCTCTTGGGCCCGTCTTGGGGCCCTCTTGGGCCATCTTGGGCGCCTCTTGGGCCGTCTTGGGGCCCTCTTGGGCTGTCCTGGGGCCCTCTGGGAAACTTCTTGGGCGGTCTTGGGGCGGTCTTGGGCGCCTCTTGGGCCGTCCTGTAACGTCGGAAAGCCCAAAAGGCGACTTTGTTAAAAATGTACGTTTTACGAAGGGAATGGGCCAATTCTTGCGTCTAGGGGCCCTCTTGGGACGCATGTTGGAGGCTTCTTGGAGCCTCTTGGGGGCGTCCTTGGACGTCTGGGGTCTCCTGGGGCCTCTTGAGGGGCCTCCTGGGGGCCTCCTGGCGGCCTCTTGGGGCGGAAGGCTCGAGCTTGCGGTTCGTGGTCCCCCTCTGGGCCCCCTCTTGGGCCCGTCTTGGGGCCCTCTTGGGCCATCTTGGGCGCCTCTTGGGCCGTCTTGGGGCCCTCTTGGGCTGTCCTGGGGCCCTCTTGGAAGCTTCTTGGGCCGTCTTGGGGCGGTCTTGGGCGCCTCTTGGGCCGTCCTGTAACGTCGGAAAGCCCAAAAGACAACTTTGTTGAAAATGTACGTTTTACGAAGGGAATGGGCCAATTTTTGCGTCTAGGGGCCCTCTTGGGACGCATGTTGGAGGCTTCTTGGGGCCTCTTGGGGGCCTCCTTGGACGTCTGGAGGCCATCTTCAGCATCTCGGAGCCCTCTTGGAGGCCTCTTGGAAGTTTCTTGGGCCGTCTTGGGCGCTTCTTGGGCCGTCTTGTCTGACTGGGGAGGCCTCCGGCAAGCCCCGACGAGCCTCCGGGCCCCCCGGGGTGCACATTTGTGGTCGAGGTCCCGGCCCCGGGCCCCCGGACCCGGTGCGCCGTTATATGTATAAGAATCTCTCTCTCTTTCTCTCTCTCTCTCTCTCTCTCTCTCTCTCTCTCTCTCTCTCTCATCTCTCTCTCTCTCTCTCTCTCTCTCATCTCTATATAATATATATATAATATATATATATATATATATATGGTCGCCCCCTGTGATCATACCAATTCGTCTCTCGCGCGGCCGCCTATCAATATCTTCGCTCCCCGTTTCCTGCTCCTGTCCCTCCCTGCCTCGCCTCCTCTTCCTACTCCTCCTCCTCCTCCTGCTCCTCCTCATCGGAATCTTCGAAATCGCCAAAACCAAAGAAAACCTGCAAAACAACAACAAAACATAGCCTGACGAGGGACCCAACCATATGCAGGTGTGAGTACCGCAATAGTGATTCACTTTTTCGGTGGCGAACCCTATGAGGCAACGAACCGTGCTAGGGGTGTGCCGACATGAGTGGCGTGGTACACAACGCGAACGAAAACGATTAATCTGAGTACGTAGGGAGACTGAGCGCGGGTGAATCTGCGCGCGTGCGTCTGACTGTGAATGAATCTGCGTGCGAGCGAGTCTACGTGCATGAATGCGAATATGACAAAACGTGGTGCAATTGTGTATGATGTCAATAGTTTGACAATGACTGCCTCTGAGTACTCGCGACGCTGGGCGTGGCCGCCGCAATGAACTTCCCCGGGACTCCCCGACGGCATCGCCCGCGCGCCGCGACGCCAATGTCGGCGCGCCCCCCTGCGGAGATTGCGCCCGCTTCCTCCCCTTCCTTTACTCCATCTTTGCCCGCGCACTCAAAAGTCCAAGGCTGCGGGCGCAGCGCAGCGCGGAGTCCCCGCGACGCGCGCAGGTCGCCCCGGAGGGGTCCCAGCGACGCGCGCGGGTCGTCCACTGCGCGGAGCAAAGAGATCCAGCTGGCTGGTTGATAGCGGGCAAGGCTCTTGCCGCTGGGCAGAGCGACGACGGGCGAGCGAGGCGCTGGGCAGAACGCAGCACGGAGCCCCCGCGACGCGCGCAGGTCGCCCCGGAGGGGTCCCAGCGACGCGCGCGGGTCGCCCGTTGCGCGGAGCAAAGAGAGCTAGCTGGCTGGGTGGGACCTGCGGTGGGGCTCCATATGGGGCCACGTAACGCTGTACTGGGCAAGGGAGACGCATGCGGACTGCGCCACGGGGACCTTCGGTGGAATTCCCTATGGGGCCACGAAACGTGTGAGGGGTGTGCCGACATGAATGGCGGGGACGCGTGCGGACTGTGCCAAGGGGACCGTCGGTGGAGTTCCTACGGGGCCACGAAACGTATGATGGGGTGTGCTGAAATGAATGGCGGGGACGCATGCGGACTGTGCCACCGGGGCCTTCGGCGGAGCTCCTATGGGGCCACGAAGCGTGTGAGGGGTGGGCCGACATGAATGGCGGAGACGCATGCGGACTGTGCCACCTGGACCTTCGGCGGAGCTCCTATGGGGCCACGAAACGTGTGAGGTGTGTGCCGAAATGAGCGGCGGGGACGCATGCGGACTGTGCCAATGTGACCTTCGGCGGAGCTCCTGTGGGGCCACGAAACGTGTGAGGGGTGTGCCGACATGAGTGGCGGGGACGCATGCGGACTGTTCCACTGGAACCTTCGGAGGAGCCCCATATGGGGCCACGAAGCGTGTGAGGGGTGGGCCGAAATGAATGGCGGGGACGCATGCGGACTGTGCCAATGTGACCTTCGGCAGAGCTCCGATGGGGCCACGAAACGTGTGAGGGGTGTGCCGAAATTACACACCCACTGGGACCTTCGGTGGAGCTCCCTATGGGGCCACGAAGCGTGTGAGGGGTGGGCCGAAATGGGTGCGCGGGACACATGCGCACACACCCACTGGGACCTTCGGTGGAGCTCCCTATGGGGCCACGAAACGTGTGAGAGGTGGGCCGAAATGGGTGTGCGGGACGCATGCGGGCACACCCACTGGGACCTTCGGTGGAGCCCCCTATGGGGCCACGAAACGTCTGAGGAGTGTGCCGAAATGGGTGTGCGGCACGCATGCGGGCACACCCACTGGGACCTTCGGTGGAGCTCCCTATGGGGCCACGAAACGTGGGGGGGTGTACCGAAATGGGTGTGCGGGACGCATGCGGGCACACCCACTGGGACCTTCGGTGGAGCTCCTTATGGGGCCGCGGAACGTGTGAGGGGTGGGCCGAAATGGGTGTGCGGGACGCATGCGGGCACACCCACTGGGACCTTCGGTGGAGCTCCCCATGGGGCCACGAAACGTGTGAGGGGTGTGCAGACATGGGTGTGCGGGACGCATGCGGGCACACCCACTGGGACCTTCGGTGGAGCTCCCTATGGGGCCACGAAACGTGTGAGGGGTGTGCCGAAATGGTGTGCGGGACGCATGCG